CCCGCCTCGGCCTCCCAGAGTGCTAGGATTACAGGCGTGAGCCACCGCGCCCGGCCTCTTTCAGTCGTTTTGTGATGTGTATTTTTATTTTTTCATAGAATTGTAATGCTTTCTTATTTAGTCATTAGAATAGATTATTAAATATATGGTTTGTGAATACTTAGACAGTCAAAGCGTGACTTCACTAAGCCAAAAATATGCCAAGCTAAGTACAGTCAGCTTGTATCCATGGGTTTTGTTCCTGTGGATTCAACCAATTACGGACTGGAAAATACTTGGAAAAAAAATGGATGGTTGCATCCATACTGAACACGTACAGATTTTTTTTCTTGTCATTATTCCCTAAACAATGCAGTACAACAACTATTTACATAGCATTTCTATTGTATTAGGTATTGTCAGTGAGCTAGAGATGATCGAAAGTATACTGGAGGATGTGCATAGGTTATATGCAGATACTACACCATTTTATCTAAGGGATTTGAGCATCTGTGGATTTTGGTATCTGAGTGGGAGTCCTGGAACCAACCCCCCACGGATACCAAGGGATGATGATATTTACTTTTTTGACAGTCATCACTGTATTGAAAATGAGATGAATAAATGGATGTAGACCAATGTCAGATGGATTATGGGGTGAATTTGTAGCTACACCCCTACACCCACCAGCCTGTTGGGTTTATAGAAGGAGGAGGGCTCTAGTAGTGGGCTGTAGGGTACCAGATTGTATGCTTGCCCTAATCTCGTGTAGCATTCTTATCTGCAAGTTGGGTAGAGGTGTAATAATAAAATGATACCACTTATTGAGTGATTATGTGCTGGGCGCTGTGGTTATGATTCTCTTTTAATCTTTGTAATAACCCTATATGATGGATGGTGTATACAGGAGGCTTAGAGAGGAACTTGCCCCAGATCATACAGGTAGAAAGACTGTTTGAAGTAAGAGTGCCTGAAATTTTTGAGCTTACAAACATCTGCTTTTCAGTAATTTGGGATAGGTTATTTGGACCCAAGCTTCTTGATAAAAATGTTGGATAGGATTTTTTTAGACTTTTTTTTTCAGCGTTTGTGAAACTAGAAGAAATAACTAATACTTAGAACCTGAATCTTAGATGACAGAGTCAGAATTCAAGAAGATATACAGCAGATGGAACCAGATTAACCAGAAGAAATTTTAATAGGGGTAAAGGTTCTGGTGAATGGTTTCTTCATGTGCTAATGTGAGTGTGAAACCTATAATGTTCTTCCTGGGGTGAGCCATCTACTCCACTTAACCACCATTATCTCCTATTCTTCAGTTGGGAGGTGGAGCCTAGAGCTGAGTGGGAAGGGCTGGAATCAGAGGTTGAAAAAGGAAGTTTCCCTTGTGGAATTTCTTTCCTGGGAAAGGGTGCTTGTGACTGCCATGGTAAGATTCGAAAATGATTTAAAACCTGGATTTATTTTCATGCTTTGAGTTTTCTGTGACTTTTCCTCTTTTATTCTTGTTTGATATTTAGAACATTTAATTTGAAAGAATCCAATCATTTTTTTCTGTGTACCTGGGCTGGAGTTTCAAAGTGGGAGCAAGTATGCTTTTGGCAGATAATGTAATGATGGCTGCAGTGATTCAAATAAAAGAATTTACAAAGGACTTCTTCGTCCAGCTGCCCCTGCCCCTCCCTTCCTGCACATTTTCCTTTCAAGCTAAAATCTTAGACGCTAAGACGTAGAGACTTCGTTTTTTGTTTGTTTTGTTTTTAGATCAGGAAGTATCCACCAAGCTTCCTTCCAGATCTCAGGATTCTAGGAATTTGTGGTGCCTCCGGGTTTGTTGTACTTTATTTATTTGTACACTCTTGCACATTTTTACATGAAGAAATGGAGGCAGAGATTTCTAGTCCTTGAGGGTGCCCATTTAGAGACAGAAGAATGAAACTCCCTTCCAGAGGTGTGGGAGCATTTCCTCTCCAGATTCGTTAGGGCAGGTGGAGGGTATCCTCCGGCATTGACCTGATAAATAGTATGTTTTGTGCTCAATCCCTAGCACCTAGTATGCAGGCACTAAATAAACAGCTCATGTTTGTGGTTTGCATCGATTTAAATGAAATAGATTAAGTTCTTAGAAGCAGAGAGTACCATACTCTGGTTATTTTCCTAGGAACACAGACAAACCTATGGGAACACTCGGGAACCTCTCTTGGAAAACCTGACAAGCGAGTATGACTTGGATCTTTTCCGAAGAGCACAAGCCCGGGCTTCCGAGGATTTGGCGAGTATTAAAACCTCCAGGCTGAGGTCCACTTGTGAAAAGCATTTAGAACTGCCAAGAAAAATGATTAGCAATCAATTTGATGGGAATTAAATGTACCTTGCTGCTTGAATCGCTCTCTCCTTCCCCCAGAGCTGTCCCTATTTGGAGACTGCCCCTCCTATTTGTATTTAAAACTAGTCACCTCTCCTTCCTTCTCCTTATTTTAGAATTTTTCCCTTCTTTCCACCCCAGCTTCTGGAAGTACCTGTTTGGGAATGGAGGCGGGGATAGTGAGGCTGATAAAACAGAGCAGGTACCCCTTTGTCTCAATTGGCAATTTGCAATTCTGGGAATCTACCCTGGGAGAGACCCATCTCTGTTGTCTTCCTAATCCCAACAGAAACAGCTCCCCTTTTGCAGGGTTTCCTCTGTAAAATGAAAATAACAGCGGAGGGAAGTAATGGAAAAGGCTGTTTGTTGTCTGTTATTTTGGAATTAATCTTCGACACAACCAAGTTTTATATGTTAAGATGGATTTCCTTCCTGATTTTTGTTTACAAGTAGTTGATACTTAGTTTTGATGCCCCAGGCAGAATTTTTTTTTAACAACTTTGCTTGAAGAAAGTTCCAGTGGTTGAGTTTACCTCTGATTTAAGAGATTAAATGTGTTCAGGGAAACTCAGTTTGTAAAGTGACTCTTATCTCTGTTGTCTCCCCACCCCACCCCCACACCTTTTAAAAAATCATATCGACTACTAGACTTCTTGAAAACTTTTAGGAGGCAGGGTTTGATGGCTGCCCTTGACTTTGACAGGCTCTTGCTGCTCCTTGTTTTCTCTGTCCTATTCTGGAATAGAGCATTTCCCAGGCCAGCTGTTAACAGTTTCCCACCTTTTTATGCTTACAAATTACTTCTGTAGCCGACTCAGAGCCACTGAATGGAGATGGATATCCAAAAATATCTACTTTCTAGAGTTTAGATTCCAGAATTAAATCATCATCCACATTTCAAAAATGTTTTTTTAGAGGGCCCAGTATTTATTTTTTGCAGGGGGTCATTGTGGATAAGTGTCACAGAGATTGACACAGCTTTATAAAAGCTTCTGCAGATAAGTAAGGTACATTCTAAATCACCTTTTCTGTTTAGTTTTATAATATTTTGTAAGGAGTAGGGAGTTTGTATCTATGATGGGTTACCTTTATAATTCAGTTTGGTTGAGGCTGAAGTTTTACCAAGGACTCGTTCTGATGAGGCCCAGAATGTGGTAGAGGGCAGAGAAACCACTCTCCATTGAGACCTGTGCTCTGGGCAATAGAGATAGTAAGTTTTCTAGAATTCTGCTTGGTTGTAAGCCTGCTTATAGAAATCTGCTTGATTTTTCCATGCCCATGTAGCTCTCTTTAGTAATGCAAGCTCTCGTGGGTAGAAGCCAAATCCATCTGATTTTTTTTTTTATAGCCTAGCATGGTAGCATGCACACAGGCTTTTAAAAGCAAACATGTTAACTTCTAATCCTCCTTTGACTTTTGATTTCTTCTTGGCAATAGGAGAAGTTAAGGCTGCAAGGCCAAATCACAGAGGGGAGCAACATGATTAAAACAATTGCTTTTGGTCGCTATGAGCTTGATACTTGGTACCATTCTCCCTATCCTGAAGAATATGCACGGCTGGGACGTCTCTACATGTGTGAATTCTGTCTAAAATATATGAAGAGCCAAACAATACTCCGCCGACACATGGTAAGTTGTCTTGGGTTTCTGTGCCTTGACCATGATGGTGATAAGATCTCTAGATTTTGCCCTAGAGATGATATCTATTCAGGTAACTCTAAGTGGTCCACAGCACTGGGATGAATGCATAGGAAATGGAAGGCCACATTTCAGAGACGAAGTATACAGTCTATGGCATGGTGTTGCTGGGTGGCACCCAAAGCAGCTGAAGGCCCTAAAGAACATCTTGATAGGCATTTCCCTGTCTTTTTTTTTTTTTTTTTGAGACAGTCGCCCCAGCTACAGTGCAGTGGCGTCATCATAGCTCACTTCAACCTCACACTCTTGGGCTCAAGCAATCCTCTTGCCTCAGCCTCTCAGGCAGCTAGGACTACAGGCATGCACCACCATGCTCCGACCCCTGCTCCTCTCTTTCTTCTTTGGAATATTAATTACCTCTGTCCACAGTTTTTGTGTGTCCCAAACTAAATGAAAATACATAAACTTCATTAGACAGAGCAGGGACAGCGTGGCTCCCCTTTGTATCCTTAGCTACTGGCATGGACAGTAGATGCCCAGTGAGTGGTGAATGAATACTTGGTTAAGAGAGGTCAGCCTATGACAGATTGTGAAAGTAACAGAATGGGTCCTTTGGTGCCTTATCCTCACATTGTCTAGCGCTTTCTGCTTTCTGAACATTCTTTTTCCTATTAAAATAGGAATAAAGACTTGCATCTGATTTTATTTGTTGACAAATGTCTACCAGATTTTTCTCAGCTTTAATCCATTTTTCTTTCCCTGGTTGTGGAATAAAAAAGTCTTGTCTTAAAGGGAGTTTCTGCCATGGAACAAGGATGGGGGGGTGGGGGAATGGAGAGAGATTAGATTAGCTTTTCGGACTGTGTCCTTTCTATAGTCACAACATAATTTTGGCTCTAAGGCCTTTTAGAGTGTCTCTTCTTCCTTTTCTTTTCATCTTTATTTCCCAGGATTTCCATTTTCAACCTAGGTGTCCTGTGATTTCTGTCATACTCTTCTCCTCAGTTTGGTGGTACTGTTTTTTATGTTCCCAACTCTGAAGCATGTAATCTAAAGCTTTGTGGCCCAGAACTGCTTTGACTTAAGCCCTCTAGACTCCAGCACACTTGACTTGGATTGGGATGAAGTAATTGGGGGTGGGGGAGGAGGGGATGGACGAGGACTGGTGGAGGCACCAGGACACATGGAATAATGGTGTCAGAGGGACTGGACACTTGACACACATGGTAGTCCATGGAGATAAACTGAAATAGGATTTTGCTGTGTGAAAGTAAAACTGGTATTTTTATTGATATGAACTGCTTACCATTTATGCCTTCCTTTTTGTTTCTGGTTATTTAGTGACATTAACCTATAGAAGAGCCAAAAGGGCAAGAAATATTAATAGAGGGAGAAAACAAAGGATCTAGATAAATCTGAGGATCAAATAAACACTCTGAATATTTGAGGACCTACTGTGTCACATGATATAAAAATCAGATTTCAGGAACTATAAACCTGTTTTAATCTATGCGTATTCTGATTCTCATTGCTTCAGGTGTAATCGCTGAAGTGATCTTTCTTTGGCTTGGCTTCTATTTCTAAACAAATAATTGTTGCTTTAGTTTGGTTATTGTTGGAAAGAGACAGCATGAGTAAAGGGATAGAGAAAGGAACAAACTATAGGTGGAGCTTGCTTTTTTTTTTTTTTTTTAGGAGAATTTTTATGTACAGAAAACTCAGCAGTGTATGTTTAACCCAGTTAAGTGGCAAGTTCTTTAGCCTTTGCCTTTTCCAGCTTGGCAATGTGAGCCACAAATTTCAGACCCAGAACATTGCTTCCCTCCCCAGTGGTGGCAGATTTCATCATATCTATCATTGTAGTTGGTCCTGGTAGTTTCCAGCAGCTTAGCCACAGCTCCTTTGTCTTCTGATTGAACCTGTGTGAAGGTGACAGTTGTGCACGTCTTCCTGTGGAGTAGACGCCCCAGTCTCTTCTTCCCTTTGATAAATGCAGTAAGGGACCCCATCTTCCAACACAGGACAGGCAGGGAGACAATCAGCCAAATGGGATCCATATCGTGTATGATCACCACCAGCTGAACCCTCTTGTTCTCCACCAAGGTGGTGACGAGTATTAACCCCTGCTCACTTGGACAGGTGATCTCTTAGTGGGACAGCCACTTGCCTATAGCTGTCTTCCCAGCCTGGGCCTACAGCACTGCTGCTTCTCTTACTTTGTCTCTGTTCTGTACCTGTGGGCCAGCTTAAGCAGTTGAGAAGCTGTTTGGCAGTCCAAGGCCTGGGTAAACTGCTTAATCACAGGAGGCACTTTCAGCTGCTTATAGAGAATAGCTCTTTGCTGCTACAACCGGATGTAGCAGGGCCATTTGGCAAAGTGGGTGAGGTCCCTTTTGGGCTGGATGTCTCATCTAATGCCAGAGTTCTTAGGCCTTTTCTCAAATGGGATTCACCACCTTCTTGGTCTCCTGCTCCTTTACAAAGGCAGCGGCTGGGAACACCTTCTTCCCCTTGGCTTTCTGTCCTTTTGGTATCTTAGGTGGCTGGAGGAGAACTAGGTGGAGCTTTCTTGGAGCAATTCTAGTTAATAATTATTTGGATTTACACATGACAGAATTGGAACACAATTCTTGAGTTGACAGAAAAGAGTCACAATAAAATTGCTTAATAGGAAGTATTCTGTATACATATGCCTTTAAAACATTTACGTGAAAGCTTTTAAGAATTCACACATTTAGGCTGGGCGCGGTGGCTCACACCTGTAATCCTAGCTCTCTGGGAGGCCGAGGCGGGCGGAGTGTTTGAGCTCAGGAGTTCGAAAACCAGCCTGAGCAAGAGCGAGACCCCGTCTCTACTGAAAATAGAAAGAAATTAATTGGACAACTAAAAATATATAGAAAAAATTAGCTGGGCATGGTGGCGCATGCCTGTAGTCCCAGCTACTCGGGAGGCTGAGGCAGGAGGATGGCTTGAGCCCAGGAGTTTGAGGTTGCTGTGAGCTAGGCTGACGCCACGGCACTCTAGCCGGGGCAACACAGTGAGACTCTGTCTCAGGAAAAAAAAAAAAAGAATTCACACATTTATAGGAATGGTTGGCTGAGTGCATTAAAACAATTAGCAATTGAGGGTGAGGCAGGAGGGGAGTTCCTTGTGCCACCTTGTGGCCAAGTGCTCCCAGCTTCCTGCTCAGCCAGGCTGCCATGACTTCTTTTTAAAGCCACAGAAAGACTTTCTCTTATTCATTATATAACACAGAGATCACATTTACGGGGGTGGGGGTGCAGGGGGAGTAGTGCATAGTTTTTATTGTGGGTCAGACTTTCTAACATGAACAAAAGAAGGCCGTACTGGTTAGGTGGTAATGAGAAGGTACTGATAAAGGTGAGAGTAAAGCACTTAGCAACTCTAAGCTGCTGGAAATAAGCTACTTAAGAATTTCCTGTTGGCGTGAGGCATTTTATAATAAGGGCATTCTGATTTATCTGTCTTTTACGTAGTGGATGATTTTAATCTCTCGGGCTAAAACAATGCCAGAATGTAGTCCAGAAAACTTGTGCTGAACTGCTATAAAAGTGCCCTAAATATATGCAGTGACTTTGGAAACCTTTATTTGTTTTACTGAAAAATCTCTGTTTTGCTGTATGGTCTCAAGTATGTCTAGCTGTTATGCAGCTCAGTTAACCAAATTTGACCTGTGATTCCTTTTCCCTTTTGAAGAACAGTCTTGTTGGGAGGCTTTGATTGTCTGATGAGAATTTCATTCTCTTGCAGGCCAAGTGTGTGTGGAAACACCCACCTGGTGATGAGATATATCGCAAAGGCTCCATCTCCGTGTTTGAAGTGGATGGCAAGAAAAATAAGGTAAAAAATGGTGACTTAAGAAAGGCGTGGTAAGGTATATTTACAGGTTTCAGGAGGAATGTGTTTTTTTTCCATCACACCTTGTAAAGGAGATAGAATTCTTCTATTGCCAAAATATACAATCTGTTTCATTAATAATAATGGTATAATCATTAATTTTAGGCCTTTATATAATAAGTGTGAACTGTTTCTCTTCTTCCAGATCTATTGCCAAAACCTATGCCTATTGGCCAAGCTTTTTCTGGACCACAAGACATTATATTATGATGTGGAACCCTTCCTGTTCTATGTTATGACAGAAGCGGACAACACTGGCTGTCACCTGATTGGATATTTTTCCAAGGTCAGCAGGATCTGGAGATTAAGAAGCTAATGGCCAGAGCAGGGTGATCAGTGTTGGCATGTGGGGCTCAGATCACTGACAGGAAGAGGCAGTACCATGGGCAGTGATGCCAGCCTTTCCCTTTAAAAAAAAAAGGCAAACTCATGCATCAAAGATTATTTAATGAAAATGTGCATCTTCTTTATTAAAAGCTTCTGGTTTATTCATTTCTGGACTCGTGGGCTGGAGCTGCCTATTAATTACTGGCCAGGGCCCTCCCTAGTAACCCACGAGCCCACATCTTGTAGTCTAGGTAACTCTCCTGGCTTTGCCTGCTTCTATGTTATTAGCTTAAAACCAGGAATGTATTCCTTTTGGCTAGAGGTTCAGGCTCCTTCTAGCACAATCCCTTCAGTGGTAATGTCACTGTGTCTTTTAAAGATCCAAGGCCAGCCTGTAATCCTAGCACTCTGGTAGGCTGAGGCAGGCGGATCGTTTGAGCTCAGGAGTTCGAGACCAGCCTGAGCAAGAGCGAGACCCCGTCTCTACTAAAAATAGAAAGAAATTAGATGGACAGCTAAAAATATATAGAAAAAATTAGTTGAGCATGGTGGCGCATGCCTGTAGTCCCAGCTACTCGGGAAGCCGAGGCAGGAGGATCGCTTGAGCTCAGGAGTTTGAGGTTGCTGTGAGCTAGGCTGACGCCATGGCACTCTACTCAGGACAGTAGAGTGAGACTCTGTCTCAAAAAAAAAAAAAAAAAAAAAAACCCAAGGCCAAATTTTGATTGTGACTTTTTAGTATAATAACTTTATTGAAATATTTTTCAAATACCACACAATTCGGTGGTTTTTAATATATTCACAGAATTGTGCAAGTACCACAATTGTCATTATCCTGAAAAAAAAAAAAACCCCGTATACATCAGTAATCACTCCCCATTTACACTCAGCCACTCTCAGCCCTTCTGTCTCTATACATTTGTCTATTCTGGACATTTCCTATAAATGGAATCATATAGTATGTGATTTGGTTGTTTTTAATCTCCTTCCAGAATGAGGACTTACTGTTTTGTTTCCTTCCCTTCTCTTCCAGTAGGCCGCTTGCTTTTGAAAAATTGCTTTTAAAGTGGGCTGCTCTGGACTGACTCAGCAGTCTTAACCTTCTTGCCTTACTCTGGCTGTAAAGAACCCAGAGTTGGCCCCCCCATAAAATGAGACTGGAGGTCTCAGCTAGGGAAACCCTGGGATTAATGGCTTCGGTCATCATAAAGGGTGTGGATTTATCAGCTGTGAACCTGACAGCCACTCTCCAGGACTGGTTAGCCGGATATTTTGCAAGCAGCCTTATTTTGTATGTGTGGGAGTGCTGAAAGCTTTGGTTGCAAACCCTCCTAACCTGCTCATGTCTGCTCTTGATTGTAGGAAAAGAATTCATTCCTCAACTACAATGTATCCTGTATCCTTACCATGCCTCAGTACATGAGACAGGGCTATGGCAAGATGCTCATTGATTTCAGTAAGTGAAACTGCTAAGTTATAAGCTGCACAAGGCAGGGGACCATGTGAATATTGTTGTTTGTCTTTTTGTCTATGGTCTCTACAATTCCTGGCATTTGGTGGAAGTACACTGATTATTTAGTAAATGAATAAACGAACGGGGGAAACCTGAACATAATCATTCTGCCTAAGACACACTGAGCACTCAGTCAACACAGGACCCTGAGTTGGTATTTAATTGGTAGGAGATACAGAGGATGATAAAGTAAGCTCTTTAGGATTATCCCAGTTTGAGACTTTTAAACAGAGCGCATATATGCATAAGGCTTAAAATCTGTTCCTTGATGTTAGAGATTCACTTTTATAGGGACTTGTCTAGAGGTAAATCCATATACCCAATAGACCCTTTGAGTAATATACTCTGTCCTCATTAATTGTGGATTCTGTGTTTGTGAATTTGCCTACTCAGCTAAAAATTATTTGTAACCCCAAAATCAATCTTGGCATTTTTGTGGTCATTTGTGGATATGTGGAGAACATTCACAGCTGACTTTGAAGTTTTAGCAGCTGTAATACTGTATACAAGTATCATTTTCAATCCGTTAGTGCCGTGTTTTTCATTTTTCATATTTTTGTGCTTTCCTTTGATGTTTATGAGTAGCCCCTGAGCATAGTGCTGACATGCTGTCTAGTGTTCTAAGTGCAGGAACGCTGGTGTACCTTACAGTGGTGTAGATAGCTTTTTTCAGGCATGAGTTAATAGTGCTTTGTCTGTGAGTTCAATGTTAATGATATCAAAAATATATTGAGTAAGGTGTTGTTAAACAGAAACATGTAAAATAAGGTCACATATTGATCGTTGATGAATATGTGACCAGAGGCTTGCAGGAACCTAACTCTGTGTTTCCCTTTGGAGCAATGGCTCAGTGTTTGCTAATGCAGTGCTCTTGGTGACTGTAGAACATACTGCTGTAAATAATGAGACTTTATCTTATCCATGTCTACTGTCATAGGACAGGACATATTTTAGTCAAAATAGAATTTTTAGAATTTGGCTTATAAGCTTTCTTTCATTTTTAAGTCACCTGGGAAGAAATGAATCATGAAGTGACATAATCTACTTTTGAGGGGGGACTATATATCACTGAATAGGTAATACCTTTTTCATAAACTCGATTTTGTGGAAATTTTCAAACATATACAATGGTAGAATAAGAGTATAATACCCCCCCCTTCCCCCCCCATACCCATCAACCCAGCTTCAATAATTATCATTTTTTGGCCAATCTTGTTTTTCCTATATTCCACCCTCTATTATTTTGGTATCTCTAAAAAATAAGCCTATTTTACCTTCAAAACAAAACAAAAAAGAATCTTTAATATCATAAATTATAGTATTCAAATTTCCCTGGTTTTGTGATTTTGTTCTTTGGGTTTGTTTTGGGTTGTTACTGTTGTTTGTTTTTTGTTTTTAGACAAGTGCAACAGTGAGAAAGAAGGAATAGAATAGAGCAGGGAGTTTAATTTGTAATTGACAGTAAAGTTTACCAGATTATGAATTTTGCTGACTTCATCCCTATGGTGTTTGTATGTTTTTTATAAATAGGATGTTAGATGGTTCGATATTAAAACTAGATGCTTGGCCGGGCACGGTGGCTCACGCCTGTAATCTTAGCACTCTGGGAGGCTGAGGCGGGAGGATTGCTTGAGCTCAGGGGTTTGAGACCAGCCTGAGCGAGAGCGAGACCCCGTCTCTACTACAAACAGAAAGAAATTAGCCAAACAACTAAAAATAGAAAAAAGTAGCTGGGCACAGTGGCACGTGCCTGTAGTCTCAGCTACCCAGGAGGCTGAGGCAGTAGGATCGCTTGAGCCCAGGAGTTTGAGGTTGCTGTGAGCTATGCTGACGCCATGGCACTCTAACCCAGGCAAGAGAGTGAGACTCCGTCTCAAAAAAAAAAAAAAAAAACACCTAGATGCTTCATCATTTGGGTTTTTTATACCCCCCACTACCTCATAGGTGATACTGAGATAATCCATACTTACAGTTGAAATATTCGAAACATAAAAAGCCATGTAATGTAATGGCTTCACATCTCTGTTTCCCATCTCTCCTGTTTCCAACACATGTGTACAGAGAACCATTGTCATGAAAGTTTGTAGTGAAGCCTCCCAGAGTGTTTTTAGTGCCTATTACAGTAGTCCCCCTCATCTGCCATTCACTTTCAAGGTTTTAGTTACTGTCTACCACGGTCTGAAAATAGGTGAGTACAGTAAAATATTTCGAAAGAGATCACATAACTGTTATTACAGTATATTGTTATAATTGTTCTGTTTTGTTGTTAATTGCTTACTGTGCCTAATTTATACATTGAATTTTATCATAGGTATGTTTATATAGGAAAAAATATAATATGTTCAGGGTTTGGTACTATCTGCAGTTTCAGGCCTCCACTGGAGGTCTTAGAATGTATCCCCTGGGGATAAGGGGGAACTATTGCATAAGTAAATACAAGTACTTCCCATTTGGTTTATATAAAGGCAGCGTACTGTACTGAACAGCCACATAGTGTTCCATTGAATGACTAAACCCTAATTGATACTGCAGAGAGGACTGTAGTACTCAAACTTTCTTCCATGTTCGCACACTGTTCTTTGCTATTAGGCACACTATACGGTGTTGCTAGAAAAATTCTGTGTATTTGTTCCCTGGCAGGTTATTTGCTTTCCAAAGTGGAAGAAAAAGTTGGCTCCCCAGAACGTCCACTCTCAGATCTGGGGCTCATAAGCTATCGTAGTTACTGGAAAGAAGTGCTTCTCCGTTACCTGCATAATTTCCAAGGCAAAGAGATTTCTATCAAAGGTTGGTTTTTGACTTTTTGAAATGGTTGTTACCCAAGTTGTTAACACCACTGTGTATTCTAAGTTTTCTACTTGGCCCCTGTTGATGCTTTGGGACCTGCAAAGATAACCCATTCTGTATTTCATCTTAATATGAGAACAGAAGGCCCACTGCATAAGGACCACTGCAGAGACCCTGACTAAACATGCCCAGGATTCCAGAGTATTTGGCCCCTGGGAATGGTTATGAATTGTTCTCTCAAGTCCGGAGTTGCTAACACTTTAATTCTTACAAAAGGTGAAGAAAAACTACTTCAGGTCTTTTGGTACATGCAGGAGCTTCTAAGAAAGACATCCCTGTGCGTTTATGCAGGGTGGAAGAATTTAGTTTTGTCTACATTTGGCCCTGATTTCTAGGGGCCAAGAGTAGCTTCTTGGTATAATATCCCTCTTCTGTATTTATTTGGGCTGGTCAAATGAATGCTTTGTAAACTTTTTCTGAATAGGTTGGGTTGAGTACAGAAGATTCCAACCATTTGGAGTCCATTTGGATTTCCACTAAGGAAAGGCTTTGGTCAGGGGGGTGAAAACCTGCGTTTTGGCAGGTTCTCAGTAGCTCTTCTGTTTCAGAAATCAGCCAGGAGACAGCTGTGAATCCCGTGGACATTGTCAGTACTCTGCAAGCCCTTCAGATGCTCAAGTATTGGAAGGGAAAACACCTAGTTTTAAAGAGACAGGTAAGGTTTTTATCAGTTGCTTGCTCTTTGCTGGATGGATGTCCCTTAAGGCTTAGCAGAGCAAAGTTGGGGGCCTTAACACTCAAAAGGTAACCTTCCTTCTCCGGAATTTGGCTACATGCCCCTTGTCACTGGGTCTCATTTTCTTAGCTGGCAATGATGCCTGTGTTACCTCATCCTTATCAGAAGCTTTTGGTAAGCTCCTGTCTCAATTTAGATGACACAAGTTAAGCAGCTTTGTTGCATAGCATTTCTATCATTTGATGATTTTCTTAGATTGGAGGAAGTTGCCCATCAGTAGAGGAGCATCTTCACAAACTCCAGGGCTTGTGGAAGTGGCTTGAAATTCCTTTAACAGGTGCCACCTTAACTCATGTTCACTTTTAATTTTTTTAATTGACTCGTACATATAATAAGGGTTGGTGAAGAATGATTTTCAGTTCTCTGAGGGCCAAGTAGGAAGAAATGGATTAGGTGGTAGTTTGTAAGTCAAAAGATACTGTTTTTTGTTTTTTTTTTTGAGACAGAGTCTCACTCTGTTGCCCAGGCTAGAGTGCCGTGGCGTCAGCCTAGCTCACAGCAACCTCAAACTCCTGGGCTCAAGCCATCCTCCTGCCTCAGCCTCCCGAGTAGCTGGGACTACAGGCATGCGCCACCATGCCCGGCTAATTTTTTCTATATATTTTTAGTTGTCCAATTAACTTCTTTCTATTTTTAGTAGAGACGGGGTCTCGCTCTTGCTCAGGCTGGTTTTGAACTCCTGAGCTCAAACAATCTGCCCGCCTCAGCCTCCCAGAGAGCTAGGATTACAGGCGTGAGCCACCGTGCCCGGCCCAAAAGATACTGTTTTTAAACCTTAATATATTGTTAAATCTTTGAGTCCTGGGCTTGGCTAATTGTCATTTTGGAATGTATATAAGGGCATTTTAGTTGAATGAGTATAATAATTTTTCTCATTGTTCTCCCCCAGGACCTGATTGATGAGTGGATAGCCAAAGAGGCCAAAAGGTCCAACTCCAATAAAACCATGGATCCAAGCTGCTTAAAATGGACCCCTCCCAAGGGCACTTAAAGTGACCTGTCATTCCGAGCCAGCGAACCCCAGCAGTAGGAATCCGTACCCTAGGGATCTGTCTGTCATTTCTGTTGCTCTTGTGATTGGCAAGTACAGTATCCTTTGGGAAGGCCATCCCCCTCAGGACTGTCCTGGCTCCGACCTTCGTGTACACTGCAGACGCTGGTTCTGAGGAACTGTTGTTTCGGCCTCAGTGAGGTTGCCTGGAAGGGATCTGCGTTAGACTTGAGTGCAGATCTCTCAGCACTGACCCAAGGAGTTCTGTTATGGTACTGTACCTGTCCAGTCACTGGTTCTCTCCTCACGTTCTCTCGCCCCATGAGGTTGTGTTGTGTCTTCTAAACTTGGTACTAGTGCTTCTTGCCACCCGGTCACCAGACCTCCAGATACAGCTGCCACCACCAGGACCTTTCCAATTAGTCCTTACATGTGTGTTCTGTGGAGGGGCAGGGAAGAGGTAGCACCTGTGTGTGTACTGGGGGGGGGGGTCCATTCACTTTGGATTTCATCTTGCTTTAAATTTCTTCCCTCCATTTTTATTGGAAGACCTGTTTTTGATCAGTATCAGGCTGACCAGAGCCAAGTACTTTTGAAGAGTTTCCCAGGGATTAATCTTGGTAACAGCACATAATCCACCTGAATGGGATGGAGAGAAGATTTAAGAGATGGTGGTTCTATATTTTGATTTGTGTTCACCTGTGGGCAGTGTCTTTGGTGAAAGGGAATGGATACTTTTTGCCTCACCAGAAAGTGCCCAGTAGTAAATGTTTTCTTCTCTCTTTACACCCTGGCCCTTTTTACATTTGTAGGTGCCAAAATAATTTCCGGTTCTCCCTTTCATGCTGTATGTTAACTGGTTAATTATACTGCAGACGCCTTCCCACCTGTCCAGTCGGATAGAGTACACCTGCACTTCATATAAGTTGCACTGATTTTGTCCAAACACCCTGGGAGAAGTTGAAAATGATTGAATGACTTCCGTATCTCAGCCCATGACTCAGCAAGGCAGAATGCCCCCCCCTGCCAAGGTTAGCTTCTCTTCTCAGCAGTGCCTCACCCTCCCTCTAGAACTGAAGTGCTTCTGCCCCTCAACGAACTCCTCCTCCATTTCCCTTTTGGGATTTGCCACCATCCTTCTATTCTCTGGTCTCCTATTTTTAGTGTTGTTCGAGTGAAGGAAGAGATGTTCCCTCTAATTTCTCTCTAGCCTGTTATAACCTGCTATCTTGGGGCAGCTTTTGATGTATGACTTGTCACCCTTCCCAACTTGGTCTCCGACAACACGCTGTCTTCATGTGGAGCCCTCACCACAATCCCGACTCTGGTCATTTGTGCCTTTCTCTTGTCATCTCTGTACACTACTTATATTCACTGTGGGTTGGGGGGAGCTAATTTTAAGCATGTTCAGTGGCAGCTCCCCCCCAGTTTCAGTGTCACTGTTGAAATTTATCCAAAAGCAACTTCACTGGGGGTTTTCTTAAGGGGTAAAGGCCTTTTACAGAAGCTAAACCCTCCCCCACATGTGGTAGAATGTGCTCTTCTATATCTACTTCTCAATAAAGCATGTTCTCTGCTCAAGTGTGTTTTATCTTGGGGCTCTCATTTGTGTATGAAAATGATGCAGATGACCTGCTACTAATAGTAAAAGCACTTGGGGTTTGCTTTCCCTAGCAGTACACTGTCGAGGGATGTGGTTTGTGGCTGTGGGATTTTTTTCCCCCTGCGATGCAAGCTATCTATAGAGGGAGTGCTTACTCTGAACTTGTTTAGTTGGCAGGACAAATTTGATGTGCCTCACTTTGGTCCTAGCTCACAGGTATGCATAGCAGGGACTAGTCAGTATTAGCCCATTCTTTCATTAAGTTCATTTTCCTCTGATTTTAGGGGCAAAGGAACTAGTAGGAAGTTAGGGTGGATGGGGGTACAATTGCTACTTATAGGAGGTGGGAACAGATGTATCCCTTCTCCTCTCCAAGCTCATTCAGCGATATTGAGCACTGTTGCCTCTAATCATTGACTCTCCCGGGTTGAAATGATCATTTCTGAAAATAGCTGCATTTTTCCTAAAGGGTTTAGCCGGTGCAGGAAAAGGGAGGCTAGGCACTTATATTTGTATGGTGTAAGGGACGAGGGTGGGAATTGCATGTGCTGGGATGGTTTTGCTCACTGTGGCCAGTAGTGCTGAGAACCTTTCCCGTGGACAAACCAAGGGTCCTCCTTTGCAAGGCTGGAGTCCTTGTGTCACTTGCTCAGGTGGGGGATGAGATGGAGAGAAGCTTAAGATTATAAAAAGACCCTTCTCATATTTGCCTTTTCTTAGAATGATGTGTGCCCAAATCTGCCTGTTCTAAATATTCGAATCAAAGGGAAATCTGTTCTCCCTCACATTTTGAAAAAGTTGAAGTAGGTGATAGGGACCGTGAGATGGAATCTGAGAGGTAAAGGTGCACAGTCCGGTTCTCAAGCCTCCATTGATTGCCACCCCGCTTTCCTCACCTAAAAACAAAAGGACGATTTGTCTGGTTTAAGCCCCTTACAGGTGTGGGAACTGTGTTCACTTTGCTTGGCAACTTTTAGGAAGACTGTCCCCTTTGACTCCTTTTTACCTGCATAAAAGAGACTCAGCTGCTTAGGCTCCTTCATCAGAAGAGCAGAAGTCTGGAGTTATTTGTGGATCTAACTCCTGCAACCTGCTCGGTGGAAGCAGCTACTCTGTCTCTGGAGGAGAGAGCCCTAGCACGTGCTGGCTGCTTCCTGTGTGCTCAGTGCCTTCATACCGACTTATTCGACCCTCATATTAGCCCCGTGCAGTAGATGTTTACACTGGTTTGCCGAAGGAAACCTGGAGTCCAAGGTGACACTGTAAGTAATGAAGCCAGAAATCTCATTCTGGTCTGTCCACATTCAGAACCTCCACCACCACTGTTTGCCTCCTTAACCTTCTCTGATTCCTTAATGATTAATCATCCTGTCCTTTCTAGTTAGATTTCCTTGTTCCAGGCACCCGTGTTTCAAGTGGCTTCCATTGCAAGGATAATAGTGAAACTGGTGAAAACTTCCAGACAATTAATTTTGGTTGATCTTAGAAGCAGCAAGTTAGGGGTGCGGGAACCTAAACCAGGAAGCAAAAGATGTGCCTCACTCTGGCTTCGCTTCTGATTTAGGAATAAACTGTCTAGAAAGCACTGTCCCTTCTGTGGTTTTCTTCAGTCCTCACCACAACTCTGTAAGGTGGGTATTATAGCTCTCTTCCAGGTGAGAAATTTGAGGCTTATAGTAGTCTTGCTGCTGCCTTACGGCAACAGGATGCGAGTCTTGCTCGGATTCCACATCCCATGCTTTTGACAGTGCTGTCAGATCTGGTCATCTGAGGCCTCTATGTTGTTTTCCCATTTCTTACATGGAAATAGGAAATCATATTAAGTAATTTTTAACAATGTGGTATATGCTTTATAAGACAAGATGATGTTTTTGATTTGTCCCTGTAGTTGTGGGCAGCTGTGTGACTAGGGTTAGGAACAGCCTCAGATGGAGTTGTCCGTGTCAAGCCAGTTGTCGGGGCTGTGGATCACCTAAAACAAGTATATGAAATAGGTCACAGCTTGCTTACAGTACACATTCCTTCTGAAACATGAAACAATTGGAGATCAACTTTTTTGGATGTGTATTAATAACTGTTTTAAAGGGTAGTCGTAGACATACCTGACTTCTCCTTTGATAGGCAATTCAGATGTCAAATGATGGCAAAGCAAGTTTCATGAGAGGTGCCAGGATCACCCATGATCCTTAACCCCTTTTTTCCCCTGACCTTTTAAGAATCTGATTAAAGTATTGGATTTTTAACTGCAGCTATATAAATACACACACACATTTATCAGGAAATTGTGCTTTCGAAGTCCATTCCTGGACATGGGGTTAAGAAACCCTGGTTTGAGGAAAGGCCCCAGCAAGAAGGCAGGAATCCTGTGTCCTGCCTGCCTTCACTCTTACCCCAGGCTCTCAGCTACTTAGTGTGCTCAGGCTCAAATAACCAGTCCCATCAAGTGAAGTGACATGACAGGGAGAAGACTTGGCTCGCTGAGGCTCACCATTATTTCCGCTGCCTCGTAGGCCTTACAGGTACACATATGTACAAATGGATAGGGTTTTGCATGTCATGAGAATAAAATACAAAAACTCCTTTGCAAAATAATAGTATGTGAAGTGTGCTAGAAATTCTAGGAACCACCCTTTGCTATACATTGGGATCACGGAATTACAGAATTGGATCTCAACTGGTTTTGCGCCAGGACTTTTGGCCACAAAATTTGGTATGACTGCCTCTTCCAGACTGTCTCTTGCTCATGGGCACAGTGTAATAGCTTTCTTCCTTTGTGGTATCTTTAACAAAATGCCAATGAATGCCACTAAGAAAGAAACAAAGGATCGCCAGTGATGAAAAATGTCCCTGGTGCCAAAACATCAGTTTGTCTCTTCCCTCTTGAGCAATACCTTTAGATACAGGTCATGCTGCCACCATTTTGGGGTTTGGGGGTTTGTTTACTTGTGCCCAAGAGTGGAAAAAATAACCCATGCTGTTACGCAACTTTGGCTCCATGGCCCCTCCCAAATGTTCCGTGTGAGATACAAACACCTTTATCCTTGACAAGTCATGTTCATTCCAAGAAACCAGTCTTTGTTCTTAATTGGTATTTGTTTCTGGAAACAGCTTACCATATATTCAGTCTATTCCAAAGTTATCAGAAACCTACACTCTTATCTCACAAATTTAGAGGTGTGGTAGATGATTTCCAAAGATGGCCACCAGCAATCGCCCCCCTATTCCTGTCTGTGTGTGCTACTCCTTCCAATAAGAGGTCTGTTTTTCTTCCTTTGTGTGGGCCGAACTTGTGACTTACTTTGACTAATAAAATGTTACGGAAGTGATATTTTGGCAGCTTCCATTTTTGCTCTTGGACATTAGCTGACATGTTTCCAAACCAGAAACTTGGGCTGAATTACTGAATGATGAGACCATGTGTAGGAGAACCGAGGTGCTCTAGCTGATGGAGCCAAAACCCCAGACTTGGGTGTCTTGAAGGGTTCAACCCCAACAAAGCTCCCCGCTGAATGAAGCCTCATGAGTGACCCCTGCTAACACCACATGAAGCTAAAGAAACATCCTGCTGAGTCATACCAACCCAGAGGATCGTGAGAAATGTTCTAAGCCATGTTTTGGGATGGCTTGGTACACAGCAAGGGATAAGTGAAACAAAGGGACTTTTGAAACTGAAGGGCTAGAATTCAGTTTGGTCTTGTAGGTTCCATTAACTGATCGCTTGTGATTGGAAGCCAGAGGAGGGTCACCACCTTGTGCAACTCCAGGGGCACTGTTCATTTTCTACAAAATGGCACCCTTGGAGTCAGTTCAGCCCCTGTTTGGTCATTCAGCATATCTCAGCTGCCAGTCAAATTGCTTCTGAGGCCCCTTCCTGGCCTTAAAATTCTTAACCACTTCCTTAAGTAGATCAGGAAAAGTGAAGAAAATCCTTCCACTATCAAGACATGGCTCATCAGTTCCCTTTTCCAGAATCCATGTGGCTTTCCATTGCTCATTGGAGCAAGTTCATGTTTATCCTGGCTTTCAAGTCTTTCCATAAGCTGACTCGACCTACATAGCTGTCATCATTCTTTTACACATAGCCTTGGCCTGCACCTGGGTTAGTCTCTGTTAGTCCCTTTCCTGTGTTTACTAGGAAAGCCTCTACTTCAACATTCCCCAAAGTGTGTTCCATTACATACAAAAGTATGGGCAAGAAGGGTTCTGTGTCAAATAAATTTGGAAAACACTGAGATAAAGTTAAAACCAGTATGGTGCTCGACTACTGGGCTTCTCAAAACCTTCCGTAGGCCAACAGGCATCAGGGTTTTCCTGAGAAAGGTACAGGATGTAACATTTCCTAAAATGATTGGATCTGGAAGGAGCCTCTTGAGGGACTGGTATGCTGGGGTCAGACTCGGAAATGTTTCTTTCCTACCCAAATAGGCCTGTAATTCTGCCTGAGACTTGGCATAGGCCAAGTGTAGACAGGGTTGGTGTATGTGACGTCACCTTGGCTTAAATCCTGGCTCTGCCATTTCCTGTGTAACTTCAAGCAGGTGGCTTATCCTCATCTGCAGAATGGGTATAACAATTGTGAAGGTGAGTTGTCTTGCAATATGCCTGGCATATTTTCACTCATTTATTTGGGAAACGAATATTCATCAAGTTCCATTAGGCCCTGGGAGCTGGATATTTAGTGTTACACAAAAGATGTGGAAATAGCAATCTGGAGGAGATGCTAAATCTGTATCATTTCTAATTGTGATCAGTGCGACAGAGGAGAAGGACAGGGTGTTATGGAAGCATAGCAGGAGGGAATTAGTTGAGCACGGGGACTAGTAAGCCCTGTCTAAAAAATGACCAAGCTGGCGCGGTGGCTCACACCTGTAATCCTAGCACTCTGGGAGGCCGAGGCAGGTGGATTGCTCAAGGTCAGGAGTTCGAGACCAGCCTGAGCAAGACCAGGACCCCGTCTCTACTAAAAAAGAAAGAAATGATCTGGACAACTAAAAATATATATATAAAAAATTAGCCAGGCATGGTGGCGCGTGCCTGTAGTCCCAGCTACTCGGGAGGCTGAGGCAGGATTGCTTGAGCCCAGGAGTTTGAGGTTGCTGTGAGCTAGGCTGACGCCACGGCACTCACTCTAGCCCAGGCAACAGAGTGAGACTCTGTCTCAAAAATAAATAAATAAATAAATAAAAATAAAAAAGGACCTTTATCCTGGGAGTCGAAAGCTGAGTTAGCCAGGGGAGCAGTAGAGGGACTGGGGCAGTGTCCAGACCCCAAGGCAGACCAGCATTTGGTGTGTGAGAGAGTGAGTGTGACTATTGGGAAGGGAAGAGACCAGAGAGCACAGGGCCTTGGAGGCCTCTGTAGGAATGTCATGTTTATCCTACGACACCGTTCAACTGTGGCCAGTAAGGGATGGGCATGATCCATTTTCCCATTTGAAAAGGTCATGCTCGGGTGGAGAAAGGATGGGGGTGGCTGGCTGGCAGGTGGAAAGCAGGAAGGTCTGCCGGGAGGCTACTCCCCTCCAGACCAGGAACGAGGGTGACCTGTACTTAACAGTGATAATGGAGATGGCAAGAAGTAGATGGATTCAAGGTAGGTTTTGGAAGATTGAACAACTAGGGGATGATGTATTCAACCTGAGGAGTGGAGGTTCACTCCCAGGGTTCCAGCCTGAGCAGCAGGGCACATGGAGGTGCCATCTGTAGAGATGCAGAAGCCAGTGAGGAGTAGCTTTGGGCCAGTGGATCAAAAGTTCAGTGTGTGGACAAGTTGAGTTTGAGAACTACGGGATATGTGTTCAGTAAGTGGCATCTGCTATTATTTATTTAACTCACTTGCACTAAGTTTGGTTCCCTAGAGACAGTCTCCTTGAGGACAGGAAATGTGAATCCTTTGTCTAAACACTCGCCAGGGTCCTCTTATGTGCCAAGCACTATTGTTGGCACTGAAGGGTACAAACTAAAATGAGATGGTCCCTGTTCTTGAGAACCCTGTGTCACTGGGGAGATAAACCATTCATTACAGCATCCACGCTGTAGCGCAGAGTAAGTGCTGAAGGAAGAGTGTGCAAGGCGCTTTGGTGATGCTTTGGCAGCAAATGGGTGGTTCCTGGGCTGGAAAACCTTACAGGGAAATTGCCTGAGAATTCCATTCCACCAGAATGGAAAGAGAACGGCATGTGCAGAAACCAGAAGCTTGAGTGAATGTGGTGGGTTTGAAAACGATGATTGGAGAGCAGACTGTGGGCTTTGCACCGAATGAGTGCGTCTTGGCTCTCCTGTGAGGCCATCATGTCTTCAGGGGCAAATTCCGTTCTCACACAATTACATTCCCAGTCCCATCTGAGTTCCTAGTAAAGCGTGGCACATAGAGGAAAGTCGCCAAGTATTTGGTGAATTTCATTTTTTCCTAAATGTCCCAAACTTCAAACACAAGAATAAAGTCTTCACCCTCTTTGCGGGTCTTTTGAGTTGGGTTGTTGTAGGGAACCGCCTCTTGGGACCTCACGTCTGGGTGTGGAGGAGGCCTAGTGGGTTAGGAGGTTGGGAGTGGGGGGAAGGGGAAGTACAGTAAGCGGGAAATTAGGCAGTGTCAGACCCCAAGGAGAGGCTGCCCTGATCCCACCCCCACATCCATCACTGGACACGACTGGAAGGTGTGAACAGGAAGATTGGGCCTGAGGTTCATCCGGGGCTCATGATGAACAGTCCTCCTCAGGAGAGAGACTTCTCCACAGGCCGCGTGGAAGGAGTCTCCCTGCCTGTGCTGGCGCCTCTGCTGAAAGCTTTCCTGGCACCCAGAGGAAGGTCCTGCCCTCTGTGCCAACACCAGCTTTCCCCTCCTTTTAAATATAGCCTGGCTCCCCCCACCCCCACTGCAAAGAACGAACCTCCCAGGAAAACTCCTAACCCATTTCCTTTTCGGGGAGAAGGACAGAGAGATGCTAAATGCGTAGTAGCCTAGTGACTTAACGAACCTCCTTTCCCGCTGTGCCGGCCGCACACCTCCCAGCTCCTCTGTGGTTCAGCACCTCAGTGCCCACCACCCGGGGTGCCCCTAGGATCCCATGATGCTGGGGTGCCTCTTTCTGAGCATCCTGAGAGCCTTCGTGTCCCACCTGCCTGTAAATGATTAATACTAGGGCAGGGACAATGGTCTCCCCGTGAGCCCGGGGCTCCCTGCAGCCAGGAGCTGTGTCACTCCTTGGGAACTCTCCGATGCTCCAGAATGGGGCTGACTGTCGTGAAAGCAAAGCAGTTAGTTGAAGGGCCACCTTATACAAAAGAATCGATGAATGACCTGGGACCCAATTGTTCTTCAAGTCAGGAGACACATGAATTTGAGCCCTTGTGATCATGACTGTAGGTAGGGAGAGGGTGTCTTCTTTCAGGCGGGGGCTTCACAGGAGCCCAAAGGGGAAAAAGACCCCCTGCCCTCAAGTCCCTTCCACTCCCAGGTGCCTGCGGTACCTCCCCCCCTCGTCACAGCCTCTAACCCATTTCTTTCCCGTTTCTACCTGTTGTCCTTACCTGTCTCCTAAACCTGTTTTTCCACCCAAGGACCAGGGCTGTTTAGTATTTCTCTTGGCAATTCTGAAAAAGGCCTCTTGTCCTACTGAAATGCTGGGGATGCCACTCCTGCCCCCTGTCGTGCACTGGAGAAGGAGCCGGTCACTGGTCACTCCTTTATTGAGCCCCTCCTGTGTGCTGGGCACAGGGGGTACACAGTGTGCGAGGCTCACCGCTGCTGCACGGTGAGATGGGGGCTCTGAGCGCAGGAGGGCAGGGTCGCTCCAGCTCAGGAGGGTGACCACTGTGCATTCATGCACGACCGCTGCTTGACACTGGGAGTCCCAGAAAAAGTCCAGTGAGTTCAGTCTGGACCTCATGTGAAATGTTGAGATCAGGAGACACAGAGAGAAGGGGTCTGGCCTGCCAGCTGGTCAGCTGTGACATCCAGGTAGGGAGAGGCAGCGTCCTCTGAGAAGCGTGCAGTGGAGGCTCTCACTCTGAACCTTGGTCCTCATCCTCTCTGCCTGGGGACAGTTTGGTCCATGGATGGTGGTTAGGAGAGTCTTGTCTGCCTCTCTCACCCTTGGAGGCTTCCCTAGTCACCCCAGTGAAGGCCTTCCCTCTCCCCAACCCCGTTTCTGTTGTCTGGAGCTATCTAGGGCAATGGCATTACGGGTTCATCTGCCACATCGTCCGTTATTCAATCGCTTAACCCCTCCAGAGCATGGACAGAACCAACTCTCGGTTATCCTCCTAACGGAAGGGAAGGGTATCCAAAAGTCCCAAAGGCCCTCCTGGGGACATGGAAAGTGCCGTGGACTAGGAAACAGGAAATACAGCTTTTAGTCCTAGCTCTCTTATCAGCTCACTGTGTCACTTTGGGCAGTAGCTTTCCATCTCTGACAAATGACATCTTCTAAGCTTCCTGCCCACACCATGCATGGAGGGACATTTGTTTCTATTTGGTATTGGGGTGACTTCCGTGGTCCTTTGAATGGAAGCGCTTGAGCAGATATTCTCTTGGGGGAGCTAGGGAGGGCCAGAGGTCTGCAGCTCTGGGGGAAGAGGTTCGCACTAGGGCAGGCAGGCTGAGGCTCAGTGTCTTCGACCCCCTGGGACACCTGCTGGTGTCTCTTGTGAGCTGTGATCTTTCCCCAGCCTGATTCATTTACCTGCTTTCATGCCTGGCCCCTGGGAACCATTTGGGGGTATGGCCCCTGCCAGAAGGTGTGAGCTGATAACTGCTTAGGGTGTCACCCCTCCCAGGGGTGGAAAACTGTGAATCGTTCCCTGTGGGTTCTGCTGGCCTAGGGGGCGGGGCAGAGGGTGCTGGGAGCGTTAGGGGTGGGTAGGGTGTGGCTTCAGGGCCACAGCTGCTTCAGTCCTGGGCCATCAGACAGACCACCTCCCTGCACCTCGACTGCCTCCCCCTGACGGCAGTGAGGAGCCTGTTCTGTCTGTCCAGCTGCCTGCTCCCGCCGCCCCCCAGACTGACAATAAAGTGTCTGGCCACCATCCCATGATGCCCTGGCAACCACTAGAGGCCCTCGCCTACCTTCTGTGGATACTCTTCTCCTGCCCAGGAGGCCTGGGACCGTTTGCTCTGAATGATACCCTGGTGCTGGAGAGAGAAGAAGAGGAGAGAGAGGAAGCAGAGGCAGGCTGTCTTGAGAGCCAGGGAGAAGGCTGGGGCCGGGGCCTTGCAAATGGAGTCACTTCTTAATCATCCCTGGAGTTGAGGAAACACCAAGGATTGGCTCATTCATTCACTAGTTCATTCACTGACTCCTTCTCCTCCTCCTCCATTCTTCCTTCTGCTCTTCCTTCAGGAACCCCAAGCAGGCACTTCTTTAATAGGCAGAAATTGTGTTGGGAGTTGGGGATACGGAGGCGATGGCAGACGATGCCTGCTGATTGGGGGGTTTGCTGTCTGGGGACACCAGCCGTGTGACCCAGCAGGACAGCGCAGTGCAGTGTGCCAAGGAGACAAGCTCCGTCTGGGTAGGGCAGGGGTCCGGGAAGGGGAGGTTCGAGATGGGGCTGGGGCCAAGTCAGCAGGGCAGCCCCAGAGGATGTGGGGAGTCATGTTAGGGGGTTGAACTTGTTCCTGAGAGCACTGAGGCGGTGGTGGGCACAGGTTGGTTTGTTTTCTTTTGATTTTGTTTTTCCTTTTTTGCTGAAGGGTTTTAAGCAGAGCAGCGGCTACTCAGATTCACACTTTTAAAATCCTTCCGGGCACAGGGGATTGAAGCTTTGAGTGCCATTTTATCTTTGGTGGTTGATTCATTTTCTCCAGTTCCAGGCTTTAGACCCAAGGTAATTTTGAAACTGTGGCAGAACTAGATCCATCCCTGTCTCCTCCTATCCCTGCAACCGCTGCCTGGGCATGTGTAGATCACCCCTCTAAGGAAACAACCAGAAAGACTAACGTGGCCAAACCACACTGGCCTCACCCTCCGCGCAGCAAAGCCAGCCTGGCATGCCCCTGACCGGAGCATGTCCCCTCACCTCCCTGATTTCTTAGTGGCCAGGACAGCTCAACCCTCCCCTGGGGCCATGCTGAGGGCAAGGGCTGGGCAGCGTTTACCTGCTCTTCTCCCTGGCTGGCTCCGAGGTGTTCCTGGGGGAAGAAGAAGGAAGGAATGAGGTCTGCACTGCTTCCCTTGGGGCTCGGTGAGGTGGGAAGGGCTCATGGCTATGTGGCTGTCAGTGCCCTGGTGGGTCTACTGTTGGAGCTGTAGTCACCGCCTGTTATCCTCGTGTGGCAGTAGGAGTTTGCCCAGTAGGGGGCGGTGTGGAGCAGTGGGAAGTGCACAGACGTTGGCGTCACTGGCAACTGGCGCCAGCTGGGTGGGCATCCTTGGGAAAAGCACTTACCCTATCTGAGTCTTAGTTTTGCTGCTGGTGATGAGGAGGACGTTGTGGAGATTTAATCGTGTGTGAGCATAGTAGCTGCTCAAGAAATATGTCTCTTACACCCCCATCCCCTGCTCCTTATGGATTGTTGGATTTGGAAGAGAACTTTGAAGTGGCGCAGTCCAAAACTCATTTTGTAACCAAGGAAACTAAGGCTAAAAAGTGCTTGGTCACAAGTTGGTTTTCTCTGTTTTTATGTGCATGTTTTTTTAATCACAAAAGCAGTCTTTGAATACATGCCTGCTATAAAAAAAAATCAAGCAATGAAGAGGTTTGTACAGTAAAATTTAAAGTCTCTCCTCACTTTTCCCACGTCATCTCTATTTCCTGTCCTAGATGTAACCACTGTTTACAGTTTGATATTGATCCTTCTAGAACTTTCCCTATGTATTTGCATATCTATGTGTGTAAGTATGCAGTTTTTAAAAAAAACATGTAGGTTCCCATCATGCATATTATTGTTCTATAACTTGCTTTTTCTGCTTACACATAAATCCTGGAGATATTTCCGTATCTTTCCACAGATCTGTCTCATCCTTTTAAATTGCCACAAAGGTAATGGATGTGCCTAATATATTTTGACCATTACACAATTGATAGTCTTTTTTTTTTTTCTTTTCTGAGACAGAGTCTCACTCTGTTGCCCGGCTAGAGTGCCCTGGCGTCAGCCTAGCTCACAGCAACCTCAAACTCCTGAGCTCAAGTGATCCTCCTGCCTCAGCCTCCCAAGTTGCTGGGATTACAGGTGAGCACCACCACACCTGGCTAATTTTTTTTCTATATTTAGTTGCCGAGCTGATTTTTTCTATTTTTAGTAGAGATGGGGTCTCGCTCTTGCTCAGGTTGGTCTTGAACTCCTGAGCTCAAGCGATCCTCCCACCTCGGCCTCCCAGAGTGCTAGGATTACAGGCGTGAGCCACCGCGCCCGGCCGATAGTCTTTATGTTATTTCCAAAGTCTTTTTTACAAACAAGTTGGCGATGAGCGCTCTGTTACAAACATCTCAGAGCTCACGCAGCAATAGTCTGCCTATCTGAGAGATTCCGTAAAGTGAGACTATGGGCCAAAGGCGCGCGTGTTTCCAACTCTGACGGATGTTGCCAATGTGTCCTCCAGATGGACAGTGTGTAAAAGTGCCAGTTTCTTCACAACCTCACCAACGCTGAGCGGTGCCCCTTAAAAAATATAATGTTAATAATGAGAAAGAAAAAACTGCTCTCTGTCTATTTTCTCCTTGTCCCCTCAGGACAGGACTCCTGAGTTAAAAGTGCCCTCAGGAAACACAGGTTCGGTTTAAGAATTGACTTAGAAAGCGTGGCTCGTGGCTGTGCTCACACCGAGACGCTGGTCTCGAGCTTCCTTGCCACCACCCAGGGCCATCCAGAGAATGGAAGCCGAGGGCACCAGCCAGGGTGCAAAGCCTTCGCCCTCACCCTTCAGACACTCACACTCCCTGTGTGCTGGGGACAGTCTGGTTCATTGACACCTGTCGCCCGTCATAACTATTAACACTCTCTAAAGTGTCCTGGTTGGACGGTAATTCACACTGTTGTCTGCCCCAGCCCATCTCCTGAGCGACCACGTCTGGACTGCCGCACCTGACCCCGGGTCCTGGCCTTTAACTTGGGACCCTGCCCGCTGGGCTCCCGCCCACCTTTGTCACTCACCTCCCATCTGCTTCCCCATCAGCCCGAAGAACTGGCTCGCCTTGCCCCTCTTCACCTGCTGCAGCTGGCGCTGAGTGATGGGCGCGGCGCCTTCCTGAAGGAGCAGAGAGTGAGAGCCGGGGGAGGCTGCTGAGGAGACGGGGAGGGCAGCCTGGGCAAAGACAGTCTCAATGACGACAGCTCGCCGTTAGCAAACGCTTGCTCTGCGGTGGCACTGGGCACTTTGGCAAATTTTACGCAATACCACACATCATCATAATAACTACTAACTACCATTTCCCCTACTATGCTCCTGGCACGGTTCCGAGCACTTGATACAGCAACTCATTTCATCCTCGCCAAATCCCCATGAAAACAGCTTGTACTGTCACCATCTTACACATGAAAACACCGAGTCACAGAGAGATTAAATGATTTGTCCAAGCTAGCAAGGGCGAGGGGGAGCCAGAACCTGAACTCAGGCCATCTGGTCCAAAGGCTTGACTCCCAAACACCACAGTCAGACCCTCATTTAATCTTCACGACCACCACAAGAAGTAGGGACTGTGATTTTTCTCCCATTTTACAGATGGGAAAACTGAGATATAATGAGGTCAAGGGATTTGCCTGAGGTCACACAAGAAGCAGTTGAACCTGGATTCAAAGTCTGACTCCAGAGTGTGGGTTCTGCTCCATCTTGGGAAATGTCTCCCACATAGATGAGGGGGCAGCTAGCGAACTCAGGGTGGGCCCCCCAGAGGCAAGGCTGACTGCGTTCCCTCCCTGCTCACACTCTAGCTCTGCTCTCCTCTCTTCCCCCATTGCCCCAGATTTACCCTGCCCAGAGGAACATGGCATGTGGTCTGGGGTGGAGGCCGCTACCCTGGGCAAAGACATTGTAATCCTTGAGCTGCTGGGGCAAATGTCCTGAACCAAGGGCTATGGATTTAGATTCTCATCCCTCCATTAGCCTCTGTGACCATGGCCAAAGCTCTCTCCCTCCGCAACGTTAATCTGAACTCCTGGAGAGGGGCCTGCCTAGCTCTGCTGAGAGGGAGGGATGCTCCCCAGTTGCGAGTGACAGTGGGTGACACTCCTTAGACTGTCTTCACATCTCTCCATCCCCAGTACCTGGCACAGAGCCTGGCACACACAGGAGTCCGAAGTGTGTGTGGGGGACAGAATACTGAATGAAGGGTCCTCTCTGACGGTCTGGGTGTAGGGAAGGGGGCGGGGTGTAAAGACAGGCAACAGAGCCCTGGAGTGCTACGAGCCACCTGCCAAGAGGCTGGCAGCCGGAGTTGGACCAGGGGCTCCTTAGTCCATCCCCAATTTCCCCCAGAGTAGCGCTGGAGCTCCTGGGACCAGCAGGGACCGGGCTGGGGGCAAATGGAAACCACTCTGTCCCTCACAACTTGCCCCACCTTTCAGGCTTGGAAGCAGATTTTTTCTAAGCCTTGGACTAATTCAGTCACTTCCAATCTGTCTCCCCCACAGCCCGCACCCCGACGTCAGTGGCTGCAGCCGCTGTCTCGGGCTGGAGTCGCCCAGCCTGGCCAAGAACCGGAAAAGTCTCTTTGGAGATTTGGACCCATTTCTGAAAAGCTCATGAAAACCACTTTGCCTTGGTAAAAGGCAGCCTTCAAATGCAAGCTGGAGAGAATGGCTGTTTATGAATTAAATAGAACTGACGCTTCTCCCACGCACCAGGTTTTGGGGGCAGTGGCGGCGGCAGCGGGAGGTGGGGGGCGCAGAGACACATTTGGAGGCATCTGTTCCTTTTTACTCCCAAAGGGCTTGTGCCCCCACCTGGAGCCCCCGTATCCATCCACCCCAAATCCCCAGCTCCAGGGATGACTGCAGATGGGAGCCTGAGAGCCAGGGAGGTGATCAGATCATCCCCGAAGGTGTCTCCATGCCTCTGTCCCCTCGTTTGTGTTAATGCTTAGCACCCCAGTGTCTGCAAGATCTTCCTGACTTCTAGCCCAGCCTCTCCTCCCGTATTCCAAGCCCTGCATCTTGGGAAGCAGAGGGATATTAAAGGAGAATAAGGATTAAACCCAACTGCAGGAGGAGCTGCCTTGGGTGGAAAGTCCAGCATCACTAGTTTAAGTGTATGATGATGTCTCCCAAGTGGCTGCATAGAAGCCCCCACTCCCCGCACACAGCAAAGCTTCTCTGTCTCTGGGCCAGGCACCCTGATGTCTGGCACTGACTCTGCAGAGCATGTGAAAGTTGGAGAAAAGCCTTGGGGATCATCTCCCCTCTCCCCCCATTTTGCAGGTGAGGAAGCTGACATCCAGAAAGCAGCAAAAGTCAGTGGAGCAGCTGAGACTCGAACCCTGGTCCCCAGTCCTGCTGCCTTCTCCTTACGGCACACGCTTCCACATTCGGACAAAGCAGAAAGGAGACCCCCCACACGCAGAGCTGTCCGTGCGATGGCCCCATGTCTAAGAGGTTCCAAGGACCTCACCATGGCCCAGGACCACAAGCCAAGGCCAGTGCCAGCGTCCTCACCATCCGAGAATGGGAGGAGCCAGGCTCAGCCTTGTCCTGTCTGCCCCTGGAAGCCCTCCCTGGGCGCTAGTCTCTTATTTGTCTGTGTTTATCTCCAGTCTGTGGGCCTCTCTCCCATCGGTTAAGGAGCTCCCTGAGGTCAGGATCTTTCTCTCCCAGATCAGACTGCCGGCCAGTGGCGGGCATGTTGCAGACGCTGGGTCTTCAGCTTTGAGGCCTTGCCCCAGTGACAGCACGCAGGTCAGTTTAGTAAAAGAGACCACAGTGAAACCACTATTCGTCAGGAAGCAAGAGTTTTTACACGTGAGACAAAGTAGTGGCCCGACCCTAAGTTGATCCCCTCGAAAGGAAATTCTGGAAAATCTCCTCTGATGCGTAGGTACAGAGAATCGGACCTTGGTAAGGTCTGATTAAGCCACTGATGTCGGGGTGGGGGTTGGGGGGAGACAGATTGGAAGTGATTGAATTAGTCCAAGGCTTAGATAAAATTCGCTTCCAAGCCTGAAAGGTGTGACAAGTTGTGAGGGACAGAGCAGTTTCCGTTGCCCCCAGCCAGGTCCCTGCTGGTCCCAGGAGCTCCCGACTAAGACCTAAGGTGTGTAGTTGTGCTTTTGAAGCTGTGCAACCTAGGACAAACTACTTGACCTCTCTGTGCCTCAATTTCCTTATGTGTGAAATGAGGATAGTAATGGGACCTTCCCCATGAGGTTGACGTGAAGATTAAATGAGTTAATGTTTGCAAAGCATATAGGATAGTGCCAGAAACATAGTAGGTGTTAAATAATTGTTTCTTAAATAGTACACACACACACACACACACACACACACACACACACAGAGCTGCTCCCACGTGCATTCATCCCTTTGGAGGGCTGCCACGCCAGTGCTCATGGTCTTGAGACTACCCACGGAGGGGAGTCAGACAAGCTGCCTTGCAGTGTCCGACCTGCTCTCCTGACAGCCATGGAGTATCTTCCGCCCCTCCGCCACGGATCATCCCCTGCCCAGGTCAGAGCCTCTCCCCGAAGGTACCTCCAAGGTCACGGTTACCCAGGGCTCTGCTTCAGTGCTGAGTGCCGGTTCCTCTCCACTGTCACCTGCCGCAGCGCACAAGGACAGCCCCGACAGGAGAAGCAGGGTGAGGCAGGGCAGCATGGTGAGCCTGCTCTGTCCCGGAACCCTCTGGGAGCCCCTCGCAGCCCAAAGACGCCCGCCTCCAGGAGGCTTCCATCCGCGCTTTGGCTCCCTGAGTGTAGGTGGGGGAAGCTCCCCCTGTTCTCTGGTCCTTCCAGCCATCCTGCTTCCTTCCATCAGCTTATTTGACCCCCAGGCTGTTTCCTCTGACTCCCTCCCAGGCTGGAAAGGCCAGTGATAGCAGGAGGAGGGACGAGATCTCTTCCAATGCCACCCCCTAACATTTGATCCCAGGGCTTAACACTCTGATGCAACGCCTGCCTCACCTTTGGCTGTGTTCCCCGGGTGGCAGGTGCACAATGGGGCAGCGTGTGGGCCCTGGAGCTTCCAGCTTCCGGGCTGAAAACCCCGAGGGGAACTTCTCATCTAGGAAATGGGGAGCGGGGCTGTGCGGCTCCTCCTTCCTGGTGCTGTGCTCCCCTGCACAGACAGGCTCTCCCCAGAACTGAGCAGTATTCTGCCACTCATCTCCCCTTCCCGACTCCGAGCCCCTCTTCCTCAGCATTTCCCTCCATCAGTAGTCCCCAGGTGTGCATAAAAACACGTCTGCCCTACGAGAAATAACGCAGTGCTTAAAGAAATGAGGCTCCTCACAGGTGGGAACTGGGATTTGCCAGAAAAATGGCCTCCCGCCTCAAGTGTCATTGGCTCTAAACCATCTTTCCCCTTTGTAAATCCCTAATCTGACCTGTCTCTCCTGCTTACAACCTTCCAGAGTCTTCCTGTTGCCGTTGCCCTGGCATGAATTTCAAGCTCCCTGGCATGGACTTCTCTGTTTAGTTCCTCCCTCTCTCCCATCCACCCATCTATTCAGGCATCTATCCACGTCAGTCTAGAACAAGGGCTCTGCGATCAGAGAGGCCTGAACTCCAAGTCTAGCTCCACCACTAAATAGCCGTATGACCTTAGGCACGTCACTTAATCCCTCTAAACCTTAGAACTCTCATCTGTAAAACAGGATTAATAATAGCACTTGTTTTCAAAGTCTGAGGACGAAATGAGATAATGCAGGTGGGGCACTTAGCACAGTGTGTGATGGTCAATATTTGCTACCCGGTGGCTATTATTAATGCTACTATTATTGACACTGGTTGAGGCACGGGGCCACAGAAGGTGAAGTAAGACACTGTCCCTGTCCTACAGGAGCTCATGGTCCAGGCTGATTGGCAGATAAGCTGGTTGGCAGATAAGCTATGTGCAGTTTGGCACGTGCCCGCATAGAGGTGGGAGCAAGGGAAGGGCGTGCCTTCCTCCCAGTTCGCCACCCTCCCTGCCCGGGACACGCTGTGCCCCCTGCTCCCAGGACAGGTGGAGACTTCTCACCCCCACGCTGCTGCCTCTGCCTGGACCCCTCTCTCCCCCTGGTGAGCTCTGCTCATCCTTAGAGGTCCAGCTAATGTTCACCTCCTCCGTAGAGTTTCTCTGTCTCTATTCCTGTCTCCAGCAAGAAGTAATTGGCCCCTTTCCCCAACATCCCCCACTTATGGCTCTTCCGGGGCTGCTGTGAGAGGTTGTGCAGGCTGTGTCCTGCACGAGGGAGGCTGCCGACGGGGGGAACAGAGGTGCAAGCCAGCCCTTGCTCTGCTCACTGGGCTGCACAGCCGGGCACGAGGCGGCACAGCCCCGGAAGAAGGTGTGGGCTCTGCTGTATGGGAGTTGACCATCCCACAAGCTGTCTGGGAGTGGGGCTGTGATGGACCCGTGCTTGGCACATAGTAGGTCCTTAATAAACGTGCGCTCTGAGTCCAGGCTAGCCAAGGCGGAGATGAATGAAGACAAACGTGGAGCATTTGGGGCAGGAACTCCCCCTCTGCCCTCTTCCCGGAATCTCTTTGGTGGGTTCCAATCCTGCACTTGCTAAAATGCAGATTCCCAGACTGGGCCTAATTCCCACACAGCCAGTCCCTGCCTGTGGGTCCCTCTCAACACTCCAGGGAGGCAGTTACCAGCCTCGCGGTGAATTCCCCCAGGGGCAGGACGCCTCATGCCTCACATTGCATTTTGGGTTTGCCACTGTTGTTCACAAGTTCTTCCTTAGAACAAAGTTTCACCTTTCATCCCTTTTATTTCGTGGAAACGGAGGCAGGCCAGGCTTGCTCTAGGCGACACTGAGAGTCAGTTGGCAGACCAGCTTCCAGGACCCCTGGCCTGCCCCTTCCCACCTCCCACCGGGGCCTCACCCAGCCGGCTGGAGGCAGAGTCAGGGCCTGGACCCGTGGCCGGGGAGATGGCCCTCCATTCTGCAAGTGCAGACGGGTGACCTTAGTCCCTAAGGAGTATCAGAGCCTCAGTTTCTCCATCTGCAAATTGAAGCTGCCCCTCCTACAGCGTGGTAAAGATTTCATGAATTCCTGCCAGCAAAGAGCTCAACGCAGTGCGTGGCATGTAGCACGCGCTCAATTAATCCTAACTTAATTGTTTCGACTAGCAGACCTGAGGGACCCGGGCCTCCGTGCTGGTCTCCCGCCCCGGCTTCGGGTCCCCAGCAGGAGCCATCCCGCGTGGGGAAGGATGTGGTTGGCGTACAGCGGGGACGAGGCCCGGGGCAAGGGGCAGAAAGGAGAGGCGACCAGAGGAAGGGAGAGAAAAAAACCCCAAAGGTCCGGAAGGCCGAGAGGGAGGCAGGGCACGGGCTGGAAACCGCGGCTATTTGCAGCGTCGCCCTCGGGCTGCGGTCAGGCTGGCGCTGGCAGTCCTGGGGCCGAGCCCGCCGCCCCGCCCGGTGCACTCGGCCACCCGGGCACGGCCCCGGCCCGTGCGCCCCGCTTCGCCCCGCGCTCGCGGCCCGGGCGGCGGGTGGGCTGGGGCGCCGCGCCGGCAGGAGGACTCGGCCGACCCCCGCGTGGGCGGGGACAGGGCCGGTGCGACCCCGCCCCCCCGCGCTGGCCGGGCCGGGGGCGGCGCGGGGTGGCGGTCTGGCCGCGGGGCGGGTCGCGGCCGCGGCGAGGCTCCCGGGGCGCCGGGTGGGCGCGCAGGATTGCTAAAGGCTGCGGTTTGGCTAAGATTGCGGAGCCCAGAAGAGAAAGGGCGCGGGAGGGAGGAATTTAAAAGAAAGCAAAAAAAAAAAGGGGAAGAAGGAGAACCGAGAAGAAGGAAACGCGCGAGGAGGGCGGATGCGGGCAGGAAGCTGACGTTTCCTGAGCGCCCACTCTGTCCGAAGTCGGTGGCAGGAGGGGCCTCATTTGACAGGCCGGCGTGGGGGCGCTGAGTGCGTGTCTTGGGCAGGGCCGCCAGCCGCTAAGTGGCAGAGTCGGGATTCGAACCCGGGCCTGCCTGCCGCTCCGTGCGCTTTCACCTCGACTGAGGGACGCGAACGGGAGAGAGCCGGGAACGGCGGGGCCCGGAGGGGAGGCAGGAAGGAGGGGCTCCAGGGAGGGGTCACGGCTGCCTCGTGGGGACCCGGGGGCAGGGGGCAGGGGGCAGCAGTCAGGTGGCGATGTGGGTTCCTCCACCTGATGATGCCACCACGGCCCTGCTTCAGATTTTCCGACGCCCTTCCAGCGCCCCCATGTGGAAGCTTCTGGCCACTTCGTCTCCCCTCCTAGAACGCCGGCCTGGAGGGATCCAGGCGGGGCGAGGGACTGGGTCCTGAACTCCGACGGCCTGTCCCCTGGTTAGACGGACAGGGGGTAAAGGAAGGGCTGGGCTGCCAGAGCCCGGGGGCGGAGGGTGTCCTTGGCGGGCAGCGCGGGCCTTCCGATGGCTGTTAGGGTGGTGGATAAAGGCAGCCAGGAGCGCGGGATTGGGACGATAGTCCTTGCACCCTGCGCTTGGCTGAACTCCCACTGTGACGGCTTGAGACTTCGGAAGAACACAGCTCTCCCCGAAGTCTTTGAGGCTGCATTCATACATGCATTCATCGACTCTGGATATACTGAGCACCTTCAAAGCGGGAGTTGCCTAAAGACACAGACGAGAGAAACAGACGAGCATTGTAACAATTTTAACAGGGTGTTAAAAATGCCACTGCAGGGGTCCTGGGGGAGAAATGAAGAATCCAGGAGCCCCTTTGCCACATCTATAATGTGGGTACACTCAGACACTTGTCCTAGACAGAACACCTAGCGGATCTCTGTGCCCACAGTGTAGGTGGAGCAAGCAGAGCCCTGGCCCTGGGTGCCCAGAGGTTGTACAGGCAAATATATTTGCTCGAATTTGCGGCAGAGGATTTGGCCCAAGCCTGCCTTGCCCTTGGCGTCTCTAACCCCTCAGTTATGCCCCCAGTGTCTCTGAAAGGGCCTGAAGATGTCACCCAGTTTCAGAAAGAAATTTTCACCAACCTGCCCTTATCATCTGGCACCTCCCCCACCATCAAAGGTGTATCCTGGCCCAGGGGTCCAGGGTCTGGGGGGGGTCTCTCTCCCTGGCACCTTTCCTTCTCTGTCACCTCTCTCCATGGGGCCTACACCCACCCACATGCTTTTTGCAATCAGGCTCTATACAGTCAGGTGTGCACAGTGGGGGATACACAGCCACATGAAGGATTTAAGTCAAGAGTAGAAGCAAAACACAGCACAGTGGTTAAGAACAATGCTCTGGGTTTGAGTTCTGGCCCTATCACATACCCACAGTGTTAGTTTAAGTTACTTAAGTTATTTAACCTTGCTGAGTTTCCCTTGCCTTATCTGTAAGATGGGGATAACAGTACTTATACTCACTTCAAAGCCTTGTTGAGGTTAAATGAGATAATACATAAAAGAATTTCGTGCAGCATCTGGCACACTGTAGGTACTTAATAAAGAGTAGCAATTATTATTGCTCGTAATAAGATAATTAAACAATAACATTCTTCCATATTTCATGGGAAAGCCCAGATTGAGGAAAGTCGTTTAAGGCATTCCCTGACACTCTGTCAGCAGGTGGAGAGTTTCCTGAGAACAGGAGCTAGGTGACTTCCACCAGACTAGGAGCTCCCCACGGCAGGGTTTATTCCTTGAACAAGGTTCCATGTTCTGGACCTT